GCGAGCCGTATAATCGTCGCCTGGACATAACTCGGGAGAAATACGTGTACACGGGGATGGAGTAATGCACGCACGTGCACAAGCCATGTATACACATTGGGAATACTTGTTGCTTTACGATCGTACTAATCGCTTCTACGTCCGAAGAGGACAAGTATTGCGGGTCGAATCCTTTGGCTCGGATTTTATCGTTTTGAGAGGTTTCACCTGTTGCACTGGCGTTATAGGGTCAGTGTGGAGGGGACGTGGGGGAGTCATGCGGAAGTGGCGACAGCTATTCTAAAGTGCCTTTCACGATTCGCCGGAAATAACGCGTTGGAGAGATGCTAACGCTAATTGTCTGGTGGTAGTTTTACGGGAAAGGGAAATTTGAAGCAATTGGAACAGTTTTTTTTCCGTGAAGTTGTGACGAAGTGAAATTCAGTAGCGAAGTGGTAAAATGGTATAAGTCATTTTTGACTATTGACCAGGTTTCAATCAATATCTCGGAATCTGAGGGAGGTAGCAACATTTTTGTTATAAACTTTTTTGTGGAGCCGATTGAGGGCTACAACAAATGTAATTATGAAAATTTCGCTATCTCACTTGGATTCGGAAATATTCCTCAAAAACTCAACTGGGAGATGGGTCGACTTCAACTCTTTTACCAGTTCGATCCTGAATTAGGCTATGAACACTGAAGCTATGGGTCTCAAGGCTATGAACACTTGTGCCAAAAAATCGTTTGTTAAAAAGTATCAAAAAGGATGTTTTGTGCAAAAATATATTTAGTCTTTTCAAAGAAAAATTATTGTCTGTGCATGCAAGAAATGTAATTTCTAGGACTACTTCTTCGTTATTCGGTGCTCCCATAAGTATTTTGCTCCCGGCAAATACTCGTTTTATATGACACGAGTGATTGTAGTTTGTCGTTTCGGCTATTCAATAACCACAGACAAAAAATGCATTCTTAAATGAAATAATAATAATGATATAACAGCAATCTTGTAACTTACACTCAAAAAATTTTCACTGAAGTTTCCAGGCTGAAGTTTTAGTCTTGAAATATGAAATAAGTGGCGGTTTCATTGAAATTTCAGGGAGTTTTACCATTGAAAATTCGTCGTTTTCGTGGAAAAATCATGGAAATTTTGAATTTCAGTTAAATTATTCCATGAAACTAATGGAAACTAGGAAAATTCAAGCAAAAATGTCCTTGAATTTTCAATTTTTTGAAATTTCAGAGCAATTTCTTATTGAATTATCATGTTTACGTTGAAAATTCATGGAAATTTCGGAATCTTCATGGTTCTTCCACTGAAAAATCAGGAATTTCCTTGAATTTTCAGGGTAACTTGAAAGTTCATAGACTTTTTTCCGTTAAATTGAATTCAGTGTCATTTTCTGGAAAATTCAGTTAAATTTAGTTAACAGTGTAGGGACAAAATATTTCTGAATAAACTTCCCTCTATAAAACATCTTTTTATCCTGAAAAGGCACCGTCTTGTCTGAATGATCCGCCTCTTGAGCCAAATATTCCGTTCTTGTTGAAAGCAGAGTAATTATTCATGTTTGAGACTTTCAAATTCGAACCAAACAATTATTTTTTTGGTAATTTTCAACTAGCGATTTTGTTGGCCCAAACAAGACTTGTTTGAGAGCTTGTTCATTTTTCTCTCAGTGCACGCAAAAACTGTCTTATCATTATTAATGAATTCCTAGATAATTAAACCTTTACGGTTCAAAAATACTGAATAAAAAAAAATATGGAGGGTCTTTCGGGTCAAACTTGTCTCATCTTTTTCCGAAACTTGATTCATTTTATCAAAACTCAACATTCCCATAATTAAAAAACCAATTTCCAGACGATAGACTCGCAAAATGTCGAAATACTCCATCGACTACTGAACATCAAACCGAAGAATATATTCGCGAAATTAAAATACATCATACAGGAGGTCACACACGTGGCAAGGCAAAACCGATTAGACCAAGACTCCCCCAACAACCGAATAAAAATCAAATATACTTTATTTGCAAAAGATTCGGGGATTCTTATTAGCATACTAACGACCGAATTCCCCCCCGTCTGCTCTTCTTCGTCTTCTCTCGCACATAATTCGTTCAGCATCAAATTTCGTGACCCCGTGTGGACGGCATCCACCGTATATTCACACAGGGTTAAACCAAAGGCACATGAATTACTAAAATTCCACCGGATTTCGTGATATGCCAATGAAAAAGAGAGAATAAAACCGAAATACAAGGATGAAAGAAATTCGCAAAATTGGAGAAGATACGGGATGATGAGCGTGAGTCAAAGGAGTGGCCGAGGCCAGTGGAAAAAAAAGAGGATCCGTATGAATATTAACGCGATTTCTCTCCCATGCTCCTTTTAGTAGTTCGTTGCACCGGGAGAAGAAAAAATATCCGTTTACCTCGTTTGTAATGAGGAGGGCGCACACTCGTTGGAAAAAATTCGGGTCGAGTGGAGCCCCAATATGATGCAAATAACGTACTCATCCATTGTCTCTGGTGAATTCAATGCCTCTTGGGAGTCCGACAAATTTATGCCACTGACCATTGTGAGAAATTCAACCACTTGAAAATCGCTCTTACATTAGTCATGTGTAAATATTTTGCACACTTGGTCGTATACAGGGGCTATTTGCGCATTAAATCATGGCGCCATTCTGTGATGATATCAATTCGAAATCGCGTTGGATTATTTTATTCTATTGTGACATTTTTTAAAAGGTTTGAGTCCGCGAATTTAAGTTGATTTTGGGAGATCCTTCGTTTTTAAATTATGGCTTATTTGTTTTTCCGAATGCTTCATTAATTCGTAAAAAGAGCCAGTATTTTTTTCACCGATAATTTTGGTTTTGTTAAAAATAGCGTTCATGGGGGAGAATTTAAACGGAGTTGGAAAGAATTTTTGTGAACAAAAATATTGGTGACAAGTACTTTCCCTCAGAATAATATTCGCGGTTTTTACGCCCTTCTGATCTTGTAGTGATACTATGTTTGAATTCATTTGAAACTCAATAAATTGGAAGACAAGTGGGAAATTGCTCTTGTATTCCATATAGTATAGTTATTTTTGCTAATAAATTAACAATATGCTTCCGAATAGTTATTTTGCATATCATTTCCTTCTATCATGTATAATCCACTGTTTATTTCATTTTATTAAATTGAATAAGATTTCTTTTCAACTAAATTTGTCAGATTTTCAATTTAGTTGGATGTTATCATCATCATTATTCGTATTATCCCTTTCTTCTATACAACTGATTGTCCTTTGTACAGTTCTATCTCTCCCCTCAGCGCTTCGATAAAATTTTGATAGAAAAATTTTATTTACACATACTTGAATAAATTTGAAACATTACATTTAAAGATATCCCCGGAATTCTGATTTTTTTTAAATACAAAATTTTTGCAAATTTTCAAATAAATCAAAACAACGATTATTGCTGTCGCTTTCATCTTCGAACTCGGTCAAAAGGACATTCAAGCAAATTTTTTAAGCCATCATTCAATCAATTCAGAACATTTTTTTAGTTATCGTGGGACAACCGATTTTCAAAAAAAATCGACAATTAAAAAATCAATCTATGAATTAAATTTAAATTAATGGCGATTGATAGGGCTCAACGGTACCTACATTTGAAAGGAAAAGATTCAATTCCATTCACTCATTAGCGACCAATTAACGAGAATTTTTCTGAGATCATACTGGGTCGATATAACACAAAATATCCAAAACTTTAACTTGAACGATATAAAGCTTCCATTTGGAAGGGAAAATCCTCTTCCCATCCAGAATAACCCCTCGCAAGCTCCCATGAATATCCCGTGATATGGACCATTTCCCGTCGCAACTCATTACAACTGAACCGACGAAGTCACGGTGAAAGGATTCGTGAAAGTGCACACGGGGCAATAGAAAAGGAGATAAAGCCCCGGAAAAAAAAACACCCACGAATAGGAACTTGTAACTCGAGGCAAATGTGCTTTTGTTATAACGAAAACACGGTGCCCTGAGATTTAGGATTGTAGCTGTAGCTGGCAAGAGAATCGGTAATTATTGTCAGTGCCTTTCGAGATAAATCATCACATTTTGCGGCGGCTACATGAGAGCGGAAGCCGGGATGCACTTTGCTGCCCTTTCGATCAGTGCTCAATACGAATAACTCATATGGAGGTCTCGATTTAATATGCACATGGTGGCGATGTGAGGGGACATCGGGGGTAATCGATTAGGCGCGCCGTCCACTTACTGATTCGAAACGGACGCCAGAGGTTTTCTCCACGGGCTCTCGCACATTTCGGTGGACGAGTCGTGATTAATACGGGATAATTAACGTAACACCTTTTTTTTTGGAGAATGCCACAGCTGGGGGGGGATCATTAATTTATGAGTGATAAATAATTAATGTTGTCAATTTTTTCATTTGATTTTTTAATTAATTTTTTCATCATTATTTCTGGTGAAATTGGATTTTTCTTTTTTTTTGTGAAATTACCGACGCATTTTCAATGTCTTAAATTTCAAATCTAATTTGATCTATGATTTTAAGACATTTTTTGGGCCTTACGGCTTGATTTAAGACGATTTTAAGACATGAGACTTGATATGGGTATTTTCTAAGAGGTAAAGGTTTTTTCAGAATCGTAATGTCACAGTCTTGAATCTTTGCTGAGCAAATGCAAAAGAATGTCTTAAATCGTGTCTCTTAAATTTCAAATCTAATTTTATCTCTGATTTTAAGACATTTTTTGGGTCTTACGGCTTAATTTAAGACGACTTTTATTGTGTGTCTTAAATTTTAAGCCGTTAGAAAATGTCTTGATCGTCAAAGATGTTCTCAGATAAGAAAAATGTTTTGTTCTCCCCCTTTTTACATCATTTTTCCTTTCTTCTTTAATGACTTGGATCGATAATTGTTCAGTGCAATTTCCCCCAGTCCCTAATCTCCGCCATAAGAAGATGAGAAATAAAAAAATTAATTTACCTTGCATCCCTCGCAGGTAAACGCCCCAAAGTGGAAACCAGCAGCGGGCTCACCGCAGACCTTGCACTGTTGATTCATCTGTAATTACATAAACTACATTATTTCGGGTTGGATTATTATACAGTGGCAGTTCCCTCAAAATTCTCAAGGCCGATAGGGCCCCGAAAATCAGAGAAAAGCAGAGAGGAGTGAAAATAGAAGGAACCATTGAAAAAAGAGTGAATGAGAAATGATACAACAGGCGGGGGAGCAACCGGTTTTATGCACCTTCCACTTCAGGATTCAACTTCGATTTCAAGTTGATAAGAATACTTTTTCTGGGATTTTAGATGGGATTTCATCTCTCATTTTAAGACATTTTTTCGTGTCTCCAACAATTCAGCAACAATTTTAGACACTTAGACATTTTCTTTGTCTTACGGCTTAATTTACGACGACTTTAAGACGCTAGACTTGGCATTAGGTTTTTCTCAACGGCAAGGTTTTTTCATTTTCGTAATGTCACAGTCTGGAATGTTTATTGAGTATGTCTTAAAAGAATGTCCTAAATTTTAAGACGTCAGAGAATGTCATGATCTTCAAAGATCGTGTTCTCAGAGATGAAAAAATGTCTCATTTTAAGAGATTTCAATGGTCAATTATTGCAGTTTGACTTTTTTAAGCCTTACGTCCTAAATTAAGACCCTTTTAAGACATCAACATTTCTTGTCTTACGGCTTAATTTACGACGACTTTAAAACGCCAGACTTGGCATTAGGTTTTTCTCAACGGCAATTTTTTTCATTTTCGTAATGTCACAGTCTGGAATGTTCATTGAGTATGTCTTAAAAGAATGTCCTAAATTTTAAGACGTCAGAGAATGTCTTGATCTTCAAAGATCGTGTTCTCAGAGATGAAAAAATGTCTCATTTTAAGAGATTTCAATGGTCAATTATTGCAGTTTGACTTTTTTAAGCCTTACGTCCTAAATTAAGACCCTTTTAAGACATCAACATTTCTTGTCTTACGGCTTAATTTACGACGACTTTAAAACGCCAGACTTGGCATTAGGTTTTTCTAAACGGCAATTTTTTTCATTTTCGTAATGTCACAGTCTGGAATGTTCATTGAGTATGTCTTAAAAGAATGACCTAAATTTTAAGACGTCAGAGAATGTCTTGATCTTCAAAGATCGTGTTCTCAGAAATGAAAAAATGTCTCATTTTAAGAGATTTCAATGGTCAATTATTGCAGTTTGACTTTTTTAAGCCTTACGTCCTAAATTAAGACCCTTTTAAGACATCAACATTTCTTGTCTTACGGCTTAATTTACGACGACTTTAAAACGCCAGACTTGGCATTAGGTTTTTCTAAACGGCAATTTTTTTCATTTTCGTAATGTCACAGTCTGGAATGTTCATTGAGTATGTCTTAAAAGAATGACCTAAATTTTAAGACGTCAGAGAATGTCTTGATCTTCAAAGATCGTGTTCTCAGAAATGAAAAAATGTCTCATTTTAAGAGATTTCAATGGTCAATTATTGCAGTTTGACTTTTTTAAGCCTTACGTCCTAAATTAAGACCCTTTTAAGACATCAACATTTCTATCACAGAAAATCGTACAACCATCTCAACTCTCTTTCAACCAATTACTCAACAAGACATTCAACACCGACAAAACGCATGTCTTAAATTTTAAGCCATTACCGGACCCCAATTCAAATATTTCAATCTCTAAAATTAAGATGCTTGACAATCGGATTAATGACTCAGCCCCAAGTGCGTTCACAAGCGCATTCCACCAAAATGAATATTCTTTCGATTTCAGAACAATCAGCCGATGTCTTACGTCCAAAATCTCGAATTGACCCCTTTAAGACGCCAATTTTTACCTCCAAATTGAATTTCTCGAACTGACCGAGGAAGGAACCATCAGGTTCTCTCCGTCACAACTGAGAGAAGAGTAGTTCGAACGGAAACTCGTTCTCCGGACGATACTGTTCCATAAATCAGCGCTATCTACCCGCCCGGTGCCATCTGCCGGACGGCGCTCCTCTCTTCATGCCCTTTCTTCAGCGCTACACCCCCCCCCTCCCTCCCCCAGGGCCTCATCTACACTCATATACGTCCCCGGACCCATTTATTTTTTCTTCCCGAGTAAACTGGAATAAAATTAGGCCACAATCTGATAAACCATCGGCACACACTACTCTTGTGACTTTACGAGTCCTCTCGGCGCCTCTTCTCCTTCATTTCTCCATTATTTTTACTTCTTTTTTTTCACGTCTTCTGCGCTCTTCGTCATGCTGGAGAATGCCGGGTTCACCGACATCTGCCTTAGAATTCCATCACCTTAACGGTTTCCCTAATTTCCAAAATTCCATCAGAAATATTTTGGATCGAGCGTATCAAGTAATGAAGCTTTTATTCAAACTTAAGGATATCACTTTAATAAAAAATCCAATGGAACATTTTTTGAAGCCAATCTATTCCGCCTAACGTGTTCTTTCTTTAGCATTATACTATCATATTATTATAATGCATTATATATAATATAGTATAGTATATATAGTATCCTATAATATATTTATAAAAAATTTAAAAAAATAATACCTTTCTTTTTAAGAATTTTGTTATAATAAATAACATAAGATAGATTAGTCATAAACTTAAATTAAAGTAAATAACATATCAATATATTATAATATATATTATAAATATGTTATTATATCATTCAAAATTCAATGATCATTCATAATGAAAAACTTAACTTAATTAAATTTCTAAGATGAATCAGGAATTCCATGAGCAATTTAGTCTGAAATTGAGTTCAAGTTCACAATATTGAAAATTCAAATGCATCTGTTACTTAAATTTCAAAAAATTTCTAACGGTGTATTAACTTTTAATATTAGTGGAGATGCATCGAAAAAATCTGTATCTCGGTTCTGCCAATTCCTGAGGCGCGTAAGGGAGAGAATACGCACGCGGAGCGCCCGGGCTAATCTAGTCGAAGAAATACACCAGACTGTTGTGTTGATTTGATTGAAATTAACACAATAATTTAAAACTTTCATTCGATGCAGCTTCGATGAACCAATAGATCAGAACTATTCCCCAGATGAGAGACTTCAGATAAGGACTTAAGACGGAAATAGGCAGTCAGCGACAGCGCAAACCTGCTATTTTACCGCTGCCAAGCGTTCAACAAAAGGAGGGATGATGTTTTTACCCACTGGGGTATTTTAACGAGAATTCGCCTTGGGGTAATTAGAGCTCTCCCTCTCTCTCCCTCTCACTCTCGTCTCGGCTCCCGGATAATTACGTTAAAACCCATGACTCTCGCTCGGTCGTATAACACCCGTCCATATGTCCACTTGGGCTTCGTTAACGCTGAGAATACCCCGTTTTTTTGTCATTTGTATCAAGTCCCAGTTAACCATCACGCCCTTTACCCTCTCGCTGATGAGGTTCGCTCCACTTTTTGATTGTTCATCGCTACTCGTTACTTCCTCGAAATCCCGGCCGAGAGACTCAATTCTTGTCACTTTTTTGCGGGGGGAATGAATGCAGACCACGTTTTACCCTCGGGTGATTTCCTGGGGTTTCTGGTAATCTCACGGTTTCTGTTTTCGAACATTGAAAATTCGGATTACGAGGCACGTAAATTGCCTCGGGCTTAGGGACACATGGAGACGTGTCTCATTAATTTTGGGGTTTCGAGTGGAAGTCGAAGCGAAATTCAAAAAACTAGCCAACGATGTTCCGTTGCCAACAAAACCATTAACATGAAGTACCCACATTCCATATTATTTAAGATTTCTGAGATGCTGTAAAATAGGGGGTCGCAATTCAATGCTCATCCTTTCTAAAAAAAAAAGCATGGGCAATAGCTCGAACGAGTGGAGAAAGTAAGGCGGTTTTCGTGAGTACAATCGTCTTGCGGCGAATTTTCATGAAACATTAATAGACGAATCAGAATTGTCGGAATCATTTAGGTCAGAGGAAAATAGAATAATTCTACTTTCTCAATATTGCGTTTACTAAGGTTTTCTTCGAACAAAATTGATTAGAATTAATAACCAGAATTATGAGATGATCTCACATTTTTTACGTTAAGGATAGGAGAATCTCAATGCAATTTCACTTTGAACAAATAATATTAATATCCAAATACAAGTGGTAAAACGGTTTAAGTCGACTCATCTCCCAGTTGAGTTTTTGATGAATATTTCCGAATCTAAGGGAGATAGCAAAATTTTCGTAACTACATTTGTTGTAGCTCTCAATCGGCTCTACAAAAAAGGTTATAACAAAAATTTTGCCATCTCCCTTAGATTCCGAGATATTCATTGAAAACTGGTCAATAGTCGAAACTGACTTGTACCGTTTTACCACTTCGCTACTGAATTCAAAATTCCGTGAAATTTACTCCATTCCGCATTCACAGTCTCATTCAATCAAAAACATCTCCGTTTCACGTGTCCAAATTACCCAACGCGTCTATTCAATTCAATGAAAATCAAAAAACTTCCTTCAAATTACATAAACGATTTCTCTGAATGCTCAAATACATCAACAACTTCAACCCAAAACCCTCGGAATGTCTCAATTCAATGTTCGATATTTTTTTTCTCCGCACGATGAAGTGAACTACATGCACGAGGCTGCCCTACATAGCAAGGGTTAACCGCTCTACCCTAGTTATTTAAGCGTCAATATTTGCCGACACTTACACGTTAATGAAGTCGAGCCGACGCGCGTGCCTCGAAAACTCATAGACACAGAGCGGGTACATCGTGCCGAGCGAGTCAGGAAGTCGCGCTCAACACGGGCCCCTCTTCACCGGCCCCAGGAGCCCCCATTGTCCCCTCCAGCCCCTCCGTATTCCGGTGACTTCTGGCGCACAGAGCGAGAAAACGAGAACGAAGAAGATGTAGTCAAGGGGACGCGGCCACCCTACTCTAGTTTACGCACCATTAAATTCGAGAGTGCGACGTTTATCCCCTTCATAACCCCCGGCTTGTTTTTTAAGGGAGGACCCCTGTGCTGCAACCCTTTCGGTTAGCCCTTTTTTTTACCTGACTTTTGTCACTTCT